GGGGACTTCAATACCCCACTGTCTCCATTAGATAGGTCAACAAGGCAGAGAATTAACAGAGAGACTTCTGAATTAAACAATACCATATACCAAATGGACTTAACAGACATCTACTGAGTATTCCACCCAAGCACCAAAGGACATACTTTCTATTCAGTGCTTCATGGAACCTTCTCCAAAATCAACCATTTACTGGGGCACAAAACTAATCTCAAGAAATACAAAAAGATTGAAATAATTCCATGCATTCTGCCAGACCACAATGCAATAAAGTTCATGTAGAATAAGAGCTTCAGCTTCTCTGCCCAACTATCTTATATCATGTCTGAATTAAGCATTCTCTGAGAAAACCGTATTTGCTTTTATGAGGGACACTGAATACAAGGGATCCTTTCTTTAGCTTCTGTGTATGTTATACTAGAAAAAAATCCTTCCAGGAGCTGAAGAGATGGCTCAGCAGTTCAGAGTTCTTGCTGCTTTTGCAGAGGACTCAAGTTCAGTTCCTAGTACCCATGCTGGGTGGCTCACAATTGCCTATAGTATTTTCACTAGTATTTTCTCTATGCCTTGTTCTATGATCTTCCATGAGTTCCTAGGTCCATGGGATCTGATGCCCTTTTCTGACCTCCCAAATACCCCCCACATATGTGACATATATACACAGACACAGACACACACATACGCATAAATAAAGAGAAAATTCTGAAAGCTGCAAAAGAGAAACAACAAGTCACATATAAAGGAAAACCCATTAGGATCACAGCTGACTTTTCAATGCAAACTATGAAAGCCAGAAGAGCCTGGATCAAAGTATTCCCAGTGTTAAATGACCACAGATGCCAACCCAGATTACTATATCTAGCCAAAATGTTTATTATAGTTGAAGGGGAAAGAAAAATCTTCCATGACATAAATAGGCTAAAGGAATTCATGTCCACAAAACCAGCCTTTCAGAGAGTACTGGAAACGATACAAAGATCTGAAGAAAGGAACAACTATACCCAGGGGGTTGTGAAAAGAAATTCAATGATGGTATAACCATGGAAAAGTACAGCTATATCAAGAATATAAACAGAAATAAAACTGACAAGATTCAATACTCATCTTTCATTAATAACTTTA